CACAGTCCTATCGTGATTTTAGCACAAATATTTAAGTGATAAAGAAGCAGACAAAACATTAGCATGTGAACAACCCAATTAAAAAATAAGAACTAATTGACAGAATAGATATTGTGCCCGATAATGACAAAATATACATTTTTCTCAAGTGCATGCAAATATAAAATTTTTACATATTCTGGGTCATAAATTCACAACATACTTAAAGGACTAAAAATAATATTCAGCATTTTAGCCAACACAATTTTATTTAGATAAAATCAATAACATAAAGATAACAGAAAATCTCCAAATCTATTTGGAATAGAGATGAGGTCTTTCAAAGTAACCCTGGATCACAAAGGAAATCACAAAGAAAGAAAATATTTTAAAATTAATGATAATAAAGAGTTAATTATCAGTTCCGTGGACTATAGGCTAAAGGTTTACTCAGAGCCAATTTTATAGATTAAAAAAATCTATGATTTAATTATTGTAGGGGACAAGAATATGCCACTCCAAAATGTGCATCTCTGACAGGATTGTTGAGCTGAAGGCAGTAGGAGAGAGCAGAGGCAGGAAAATTCTCTGCCCTCCCTCTGTCTGCCTAAAATCAGGACACAGATTTAGAAAGACAGCAGACGCCCTCCCTCTCTACCAAGGAGCACAAAGGTTCACTGCTGAAGACAACTTTCTCTCGACCTGTATGGGTCTAACTCATGTCTGCCATTTATTTGCCTCCCCACGAGCTGCCACCCCTAGAGACTCAAAGTCCTTTTCCTTTGTCTTGTTACTTCTCTACAACTGTGCTGCTCTTTGTAGAAGATGCTACATAGGCTTGAATTAAATGCCATTTATTTGAGAGCTACTCATTCCTTGAGTTTCTCCCAAACTTCTCTTTCTTTTTTTCCTGTTAATGTCTTTTGTGGCATAGGTTCCTTTCAACTAATAAATCATGAGGGTTGAAGGAAAACTGATTTTTCTTCCCTTACAGTATCTATTTCAAGAAATTAGAAAAAGAATATCACATTGAGTCAAAGAATCAGTAGTGAAGGAAAGTGTGAGCATATATGTATGCATTTTTGAAGTCCTATAGAAAAAAAATTAAAGAAACCAAAATTAGTTCTTTGATAAAACTGTTGAATGTGTAGACTTCTAGCAAGACTGATCAAAAAGACACAGAAAACACAAATTATGAAAATTGAGGTCAAAATGTAGTGTATCACTGCAGATCCTTCAGATATTAAAAATATAAAGAGTATTGGCCCAGCGCGGTGGCTCGCACCTGGAATCCTAGCACTCTGGGAGGCCAAGGCGGGCGGATCGCTCAAGGTCAGGGGTTTGAAAAATATAAAGAGTATAATAAGAAAACATTATAAAAACATTCTATTTGACAATTTATATAAAATGTAAAAGTTCCTAGAAAAAATGCAATTACTGAAATGTCAAAAAGAAATGAGATATCTAAGAAGAAAGCTATAGTTATTAAAGATATTGAATCTGAAAACTTAGGCATATATGTCCACAATTTTCTTAGAATGAAAAGGTAATACTGTATTTATATTTGTTCAAATAATATAAAAAATGTGGTCTAAATAAAAACTGCAATGAATTAGGCATAAAAGAAAATAACTCATTTATTATAAAGCTAGCTAAATTAATTGGTAAATCTTTTACAAAGAACACTTAAAGACATCAACAAGCATGTAACAAAGTACTTGAAAATCAAAAGAAACATGATTTTTTGAATAGAAAGCATGAACAGAAAATAGACAAGTATTATCATCCATTAAACAATCTATTAATTTAATATGACCTTTAAAAAAATAAAACTTCAAGTCCTAAATGAGATGATCCAAATGTCATATAGAATATTCACCAAAATTTTGAAAACAAAAGGCACGAAGAGAGAATAGCTCTACCAAACGTGTGTGTGTGTGTGTGTGTGTGTGTGTACCATCACTGTATATGAGTAGTGATTGAAACAGTATGCTTTTGTAGTACTACAACAAGAGTAGACAAATACATGAATGGAAATTTTTACATAAAAATTCAGTAAAAGGTATTAGAATAACTATGGGCCAATATTTTAAAAAGTTTGACTTGTATAACAATTGTCATACCAGACTGAATTCTAGAAAGCTCTGTTCAAGAATCTACTTTCTGTAATATATAATTAACTTCCCAAGAAAAAAAATAACCCAATAGAAAATATGAACAAAGAGTAAGAACATATATTCACAGAATGGGGACTATGAATGCCTACTAACCGTTATTCATTATAACACATCTTGTTAGAATTGTGAGACAGGTGAAAAGTACGTGAGTACTTTTTTTTCACCTACCATATTAACAAATGTCAAAAACCTAGTAACATCTCTGTTGGTTACTGCACAAGCAGACAATTTTACATTTTTAATTTGAGAATACAGTTTGGAACACAGCCTATGAAGAGTAATTTGATAATAAAAGAGAAAATTCATTTACTAAAGCTCATATCCTACTACAGAGGATAAATAAGAAATTAATAACTTCCAAAGAGGGAAAATGAATACAAAGAAGGTGAAAAAGAGGAAACTCTGCTCTCTGCTGTCCAGAGTTTTGTAAGTTTTTAACTTTCTACCCCAAACTTACTTTAGTTATTTTTAAAAGGAATCAATTACTAAAGAAAGTATGAAAATACTCCCACTAGCAGTTGAAAAAAAAGAAAGGATACCTAAAAGAATCTAGTAAAATATGAAAATTAACACATAGAACATTGTAAGAAATTATATAAGGTAAAGAATATTTTGGGAAGAAATATAAATCATATTCATCCCAATACTCATGATACAAATAGAAAGTAGAGACATAGATATTTTTCTGACTATTTAAATATTTTGAAAAATTTTAGCATCAAGCATTTTCCAATTGTCAAACTTATTCACTGTAGAGTATCAGTGATCATTGTTGATGCAGTTCAAATGCAAGAGACATTTTCAAATATGCCTTTTAAGTCGTAAAGAACGTGGTATATCATATTCTATACTGGCTTTTCTTTAAAAAGCACTTAAGAAATTTAAATCACTTTTTAAAGTATATACTTAGAATACATTTTAAACATTTTATACGTTGTCACATTAAGGGATTTTTTATTAACAGAAAAAAGGATGCATTTCATGCTTAAAAGCATGCCTATAACTATCTGGATATGAATCTCTATTTAATATCATTGCCTAAAATGCAAGCTTTTTTGGTTCACATGCTACTTGGGAAAGAAGGCAATTGAGATTTTCTTTTTTCTCAGCTCAGGAATAATTCTCTCATTTATATCTATGGTTTTTGCTGATCCTGTAAAGACAAATTTTTCTTTACAAATGATTTTTTAAATAAAATTTCACCGAAGTGTCATGTACCTAAAGTACACAAATCTTGAGCATACAGGGTGACACATTTCACGAAGTGAGCCCAGACCCATAAAGTCACTCCCCAAATCATGAGTTCCATCCACACTTTCCCCTTACCCGCCTCCCGGACCCTTCTTTGCACCCTCCGTTCAGATGCTAATAGTGTCCTCTGTCTGGGCAAACCTTCCTTCCTACATCCAGCCACCACCCGCCCAGGGCTCTCATCAGTTCCTCCAGGTTCTCAGCTCCGCCCTGACCTCGCAGGAATCCTCCTCATCACAGACTGCATTTCCTCAAGGGCAGTATGGGCGTTATGGTCCCAATATGGATTTTTAATTCTTATATTTCATGATTATTTTCTCAGAAATCTTGCTGAAATCACAATTCTATCTTTCTAATTTATATTTCATTTCACTTTATCTTATTATAATTTTATGTTCTTATTTTACAAAGTTAAAATCCCCATGCAATTTGGGGGGGGGGATTGCAGTTTCTTAAAATTTTATTTCCATGCCTCTAAAATTTATGCTTAAGGATTGTCTTCTAACCCGAGTTTTTAGTATAATGTTTCTTTTTGGCGCATACAGTCATTTCTTCCTGGCTCCCATTCGGATACTCTTGCATTCTATCCCTGGAAAGAGTCCACCCAGACCACATGATTTCTAATCTAACTGGCAAAATATGTGGCTGTACACTTGCCAGTGTTTCCCTCCTCTTACCAGATATAGGCTTTCATGAAAGTCTGCTTTGTGCACAACCCTAAACCTGTTCTCCAGACCTGACAGGTTTTCACTGAACAGAGCTCTGCAAGGCTGATTGTCCTTTCTTTCGTGCATGTTTCCCTGACACTTTAGACTGATGCTGCACAAGAAAAGCTACAAGCTCTCCTGTGGGATGCTACCAGACTTCCTCTTTCCTCTTTCATCCTTTTATTTCTAGCAAATTTACCTCCCAGCATACAATGCACTATCACAATTCCAGCTCTCTCTACTTTCTGGTTTCAGGTTCCAACATTTGAAGTTTTTCAGTGGGAGAAGTACCCATACACAAACAAAACAAACCAAAACAAAACAAAGAACAGTGAAGAAGTAGGAGCTCACAGAGCCACATGGGCCTCGCCTGCCAATACAGAGATGGTAACTTGTACCCTTTGCCTTCAAGATGTCCTAGCGCTAAATGCCCATTCTAGATATGTTTTACCAGCACCGTGTTAAGAAGAAATTCTCTTAGACTCTGCATTGTGGATCTGTCAATCCTAGCAACAACTAGCGGGATTTATGAGTTAATGTTTATATTCCTTTACTTCACAGGCATTTGTTACCTGTGAAAATGACAACCGGGAACTCAACTAAGGGGGTGACTCTGACTAAGCCTGTGTTCCCCTCGCATTCAGCCAAGTCTGCCAGGCAGTGGGTGGTGGGGCTCTCTCACTGTGAAGCCCGAGCGTCAGGGGCTCCAGGATTTCAGTGCTGCCTGAATTTTGGACGAGTCACCCACCCTCACTCCCTTTTCGTCTCTAGAATGGGGGCAGTATTAATACATCTATCTCACAGGGCTGTGGTCAGGACTAAACTCATTAATCTATTTTCCTAAGAAAATACTTTCGAGACTATGTAGCAACAGATAGATACTCACTAAGAGCTGTTGAAGTTGCCATTGTTTTCATTTGCTGTGGGGACAATCACCTGATGTCTTCCAATACAAGAACTTCCATTTTCCTTCCCTCAGCCATTGGGTTCCCCGAATACTACCCTTCATGTGTCAACCAAGATAAGGGCAACACCTGCCACCTTCTCTGGAGCAAGCCATGTGCTGTGGTCAGAATGTTTGCATCCCTGCGAAAGCATACATTAAAAAATAATCCCCAGATTAGGTCAGCTCTACCCCTATAAATAGGATAGAGTCCCCTTATAAAAAAGATCACAGATTGGTAGCAAGCCCCTCCCACCATGCGAGAATACAGAGAAAAGGTGCTTTCTATGAAGTAGAGAATGAACCCTTAGCAGATACTGAACCTTCCAGTACTTTGATCTAGGACTTCCCAGCCTCAAGAACTGTGAACAAGAAATTTCTGTTGTCTATAAGCCACCCACTCATGTTATGGCAAATTTGTTATAGCAGTCTGAATGGACTAACACAGTGTATGAATAACTTCTGGCCACTATGATGTTCATGGAAATAGTATATGAAACTTTTTAGAATTTGTCTTAATTAGAGGAAGTCTACCCTTATCCTTTTTCTTCCTCCTACTGGTTGGAATGTGGACTTACTGGCTAGAGCCCCAGCAGCCATCTTGCAACATCCTTGGTATACCAATGCAGCAAATCAGTGACACGAAAGGCCCATGAGACTGCCCTATCAGCACTGTATTTTAGTGCTGACTGAATAGTTTACATGGAAGAATACAATCTTCTGTGCTTACACCACTTTTTATTTTGGCATGTGGCCACATGCAGTAGCTGATCCTAATCAGAAATATTACTTTGCTTTAGGACATTTGCTCTTTGAGCTTATGCTAGAATTTCATCTGATTCATCTTCACTAAATGCTGATGAGACCCCCAAACTAAAACTCTTGCTGAGCTCCAAGTCCATGCAACCCCAGCATACCTGGCATGTCAGTATACATAAACATGTACAATACCGAACTCAGGACTTCCTTTTCTGTTCCCAAATCTACTATTGTTCCAGGGCATGCCATCATCCTAACAAGCTAGGCATCTGAACATCCACATTAATACCACCTCCTAATTCTCTATATTCCAGCCTTTTGAAATCTTGTTGATTCTATACACAAAATATCTTCACTTTCTCCACAACTACTTGTGAATCACCATGAATTACACAAAGCACAAATTATCCTCTAGATTTTCAGTCCCTTCCCTTTCATAATCTTATTCTCCACAGTACAGTTAGCTGATATTTTTGATAAGGAAATGTCTTCCCATGGCTCACAGGGTGAAGAGGAACACCCGCAGCCTAGATACACCCCTGCGTTGTCCAGTGCCGCCTCTGTCTGGCTCATCAACCTCCATGCTTCACCTCACTCTCAAACCCTGAACCAACTGGCCTCTTTGTTTCTAGACAATTTGTGCTTCATTTAATTACAACTGTATTGCAATTTGTCATCCTCCTTAGAGGAATCTTTCCAGCCTACTGTTTTGGAAATGTGTTGAAGCATAAGGTTAATCCTGAACAAAACACACAGCCAGTGTTCATGCAGGGGGGTGCAGGAAGTGAGAGCTGACTGCCCCATAGGGCCTGGAAGCATCCTACGGTTCTTCTATTAAAGAAATGGATTGATCTATCCAGGTAGAAATGTAGCTGCCAGAAGGGAAATGGCCCCCCAGAGCAAAGCCCTTCTTGTGCTATTTGGGGAAGTTGCAATGAATCTGTAAACAAGCCGTGCCCACATCACAGGGTCTCAGGAAGCCTTCTCAGTCGAGAGAAAGACGCAGCAGGAACCAGATCTGTGCACCGCAGCGAGGAAGCAAGAACTGCCCCCTACACTCTGGAATATAAATACATACACACAGGCAGCCACCACATGGACAAATTTAGCAGCATGAACAAGAAGGACCAAATCAATAAATGCCAGATAATGGAGAGCAACAGGTAATTCAGAGGGCAGAGAAACACTTTATGGGCAGCTTCCTGTGGTCTACCTCTGGGCCCACAAATCACCTAGGAGTCAACAGTTACAAGCCCAGGTATGAATGAATGGAGAGGATTTTTCTGACAATAATATTGTCAGTCTTCTTCTTTTTTAAAAAATATTTTTAGAGACAAGGTCCTGCCACCCAGGTTGGAGTACAGTGGCGCAATCATGGCTCACTGAAGCCTCAAGCTCCTGGGCTCAGGCAATCCTCCTGCCTCAGCATTCCAAGTAGCTGGGACTGCAGGCACGTACCACCACAGCCAAGTAATTTTTAAAATTGTTTTTTGGAGTCTAGGTCTTGCTATGCTGCCCATACTGGTCTCAAACTCAAGTCATCCTCCCACGTCGGCCTTCCCAAGTTCCAGGATTACAGGAATGAACCACCATACCTGGCCCAGTTTTCTTCTTTAGAGTTTTCTCCTTTTCTTTTCTTATTTTCTTCTTTAGAGTTTATGAAAAATTAAAATTCAAACAGGTTCACAAATCATGGTCCATTGACTCTCAAGCACCTGGGCACTGTGGGTTCTCCTGGCTCTCGGCCAATCATGCTCTTCTCAGTTCCTTCTATTGGAGAAAAGAGACCACAGTGGGGGGGGGGGTGTCAAGACTAACAATACCAGTCCCCTCCAGGAAGATGTAGGAAATGGGCTTATAATAGGAATCATTGTTCCTGGCAAGCCTGGTCTACTTAGCGGCCACGGGGAGGCACGGGCTGCTGGTGAGCATCTACCTATTACTCCCAGAACACAGTGACCAACACGTCCCCTCCTGTCCCCTCCCACAGCCCCACAGCCCCACATTTGCTTATACTAACTTCAGCTGAAGACCAAGACTCTGGTCCTGTGGTAACCAAAAACTTATTGCAGATGCCTGGCTACCTGCAGATGTAGCAAAATGAGCAACACTGTATGTTGTTCTCTTTCTGATGTCAGAATGTTCCAGTTTTCCTTAAAACTTGCCCTGTCTTATAGGGTGCAATTCGAGTGTGTGGCAAGTAGCAACTTACTCCAGCAACCTGAAATTTTTCCTACTGCATCCCTGAAGCTTCAGCTTTGGCAGACTCCTGGCTGGAGTCCTGAGTCCCAAAAGGCTGCAGATTAGCCGGCTACTCCCCTTCAGAGAATTCTCTCTGCCTGTGTCCTATCACAGTTGAGTCACTTCCAAAGTGCACATTCATTCTGCCACTTGCAAATCCAGCAGCAGTTCCAATGTCTGCTTAGCTAGGAGCTTTTCATTTGCAAGTAAGAGAAATCCATTACAAACTTACGCAAAATGAGAATGTTGGTCTCATATAACTGAAAAGTCCAGAAATTTCTAGCCTCACATCCAAGTGGACATGAGTGCTCACCAAATGTCATCACGGGAAGAAGAGTGTGGAGAGAAACAACCGTGAAATAATCTGCCTGTTCCTCTGCTGCCCGCTGGCTGTGCCCACTCTGTGCTGGCAGGAACGGCCCGAGCAGAGCGGGTGATGTGGTCCCCACAGTCAGTGAGGACAGAGGACAGAGACCTTTCTGCTCTTAGTTCTTCCTCAAGGTCTCCGACATGTCCCAAACTTGTGAGGCAAGGGCAATGAATTAACCAACTTCCAGTGTAAGTGGGAAAATGCATTTTTGGAGTTAAAGGGATACCTACCTACTAACGATCTAAAAAAATAATGTTAAAGTGTTCCTTATGGAGAACGGGAAAAAAATTGCAAGAGATACACTGGGGGCTTTGCTTTTCATTACAAGGCCATCTGATGATATTTGATGTATTATTAAAGGCAAGGGCTAGCTCAATAAATGTTTAAAATAGAAATAATAAACGGGAGATTTATATATTTTGGGGATCAAGCAGGTGTTCATATAGTATAAATCTAAATCGGAGCACATTCTTCTATTTCTCAATGCTAAATTAGCTGAATATTGGGGGAATTTAAGATCTATATAATGTGAGACAAAGTGTAGCTTTGGATTTTGATTTTGGCTTTCAGTTCTACCAGGAGCAGCACATTAATAATAAAGTAATGCTCATTCTAAACCCTGATCAAGAAAGTGCAAAAATAGAAATGATGAATCAATCTCAATTAAGATTACAGTTGAAAAAAAAAAAAACTAAATTAAAATACAAGAAAATTAAATTCAGTGGTATATTAAAAAATAATCTACTGATACTAAGTAGGATTTAGGCCAAGAATACAAGACTAATGTTCTATTTGGGCATCTATTTGTATAACACAGCAAGATGACAGACACATTTCATTATCTCAGAAGTCATTCAATTTAATTAAATGCACTCCTTCATTAAGAAAAGAATATGCAAAAAGCATTCAAAGGCAGAACACAATGACACTTTCTTTTCATGGCAAGGAATGTATATATATATATATATATATGTAGCCATTATTATTTTTATAGCAAAATCTTGGAGATAATACTTTTAAATTTAGCACTACTAATGATTGCTAACATCATTGTTATTTTAAATGGTTCTGGAATATAGTCAATTAATAAGATATAAAATGAATATAGGATGTATAAATATTTAAAAAGGATGGAAAATAATATCTACATCAGACAATATGATTTTTTATCAGGAAAACTAAGAAAATTAAAACGTTAATAGAACTTAAAAATATACTAAATGTAAAAATTATTTGGTATCGGGGCTCAGTGTCTATAATCAGTAATTGATTAGACATTTATTCACAATTTTAGTATTTATTATTATGGTTCTAATCATCTGTGCTTTCCATATGGCATAAAAAAAAAATCCATGTAAATGCTGTAATCTGAGGCAGTTCATGTTCTTAATAAGCTACCTGGGGTACTTCTTAATAGGAATTTTTTTCTCAATAGCAGCTACATTTGTCTGTATTTTCCAAGCTATTTTTTTCAGTATAAGTAATAAAAAGTTTTTGAGGATCTCTAGCTCAAAATCTAGCATTCTTTCTAAAAATTTTATGACTATATCTTGAAATGTGAAATTAAACATCCCATTCCTTCATACTCCTTCTCTCCTTGTCCTAGGGTGTAAAATGCTGGAATTTTGCCATTTAAATATTTCATGACCACTCAGGTAATAAACGGTCTAATTAAAACATGTTCTAGAAATTTAGGTAGTCTTTTCTTCTAGTCTGATAAAAGCTAACACACACACACAATTAAAAAAAAAAACAACACGAGGTATCTTTGTAAATGCAACAAAGTAAAAATGATAAAATATATATTATTTTAAGTTTTTCTATTTACATGCTCTAAACTCTGATATTTAGAAATTTTTAGTATAGCATGTACAACTTGCTCTTTAAACTGGTAAGTTCTAGTGGAGCTGTAATAAATATTTTAAAACCCTGGCAGAAAACCTATCAGGAGCAACATTCTGGAAGCTGCGAGTGTGATAAGGAAAAACATGCATCAAAACAAACAGCCTCGAAGAGCTGCTGCCAGGCGGCAAAGGCTGGCCACCCCTACTCGGGCAGGAATGCAGGGACACCAGTGGCTCCAGTGTCTCTGCAGAAGGGTCACGGGTCAATTCTATGGAGAGGTTACAGCTACATTTAGAGCTCAGTGCTGTATGTAAGTGGGAGAACAAAGGAAAGCTATTTCCAACTGATTGTAAAAAAGAGGAATGTGCCCGCCCTAGTGTGTGTCACTCATATGAGGGCCATGACTTTGGATTGATGGTGAAAGAAAAAAGAGAGTTACGCATAAAGGGAAATTACACACTAGCTTTAGTCAGGTTTCCTAAAGAAAAGGACAACAGACATGATGGAGGTTTAGGAAATCTGTTCAAACAGCTTTTCGGAATACACTGAAGGGAGAATCTACTGCCACCTTATGACGGAGCTCTTGAAGAAGAAACTTGTAGGTTAAAAAGAAGCAAAAGAAAAACTCTGAATAGCTAAAGGAATATTTGTGCATTCCAATAAATATTCACCAGCTTACTATGTGCCTACTGTTGAGCTAGGTATTGAATAGATACCAACTAACATTATAAGAGACCCCTCAGCATGGCAGGAAGACACCATTATTTGGAAACACAAGTCATTCCTGAAACAATGAAGTAAAAATGCAAGATAAGTGATCAGGACAATAATTGAATCCAAAGGTGAGGAAATGATTCCAGAGGTGTGGAGCCCTTAGGAGATACTGTCTGAAACAGACTGCTGTGAGAACATTTACATGAAAAGTTGATTTGTTTTTAGAAATTTGTTTTTATATATATTTTTTGGAACAAAATGATCAGTTGCCTGTATAAGAAAACACAGAGCTATATAGCAATAAAATATTATTATGCATCTAATAATATATTGCATTTTGTTTATTTTAGGAAACTTTTTATTTTGAAACTTTTTAAGATTTATAGGAAAGTTAGAAAGGTAGTACAGAAAAGTCTACATACCCCACATGAAGTTTCCTCTATTAACATCTCACTATAGTGTAAACTAAAATAAAATATTAAGGCTCTCCATCCACCAGCTGACTGAAAGGACCCATTCTTGGCCAAGGGGATATCCTAAAACTAACCTGCCTGCCAGGAGGAGGGAGATCAGACATGCCTCATCATGCCCCTCTTCCTTCTTGGGGACATCCTTTGTAACCCACCAACAGGCCTAAGGGTATACAAGACAAACCTGCAGGTCCTCAATTTACACAACAAATATATGTCCTGGTGGCTTGTCTCTGATCAGCAGACTCCTTGTCTTAAAACATTTCAAGCCTTTAGACAAAGCTTCCTGTCTTTAACCAATTACAAGTTAAAGAATCTTTAAACCCACCTATAACCTATAAACGCCCCTTCAAGATGGCCCACCTTTTTGGGCCAAACAAATGTATGCCTCCTAGTTATTGATTTGTGACTTTACCTGTAACCCCTGTCTCCCTGAAATGTATAAAACCAAACTGTGACCCAGCCACAGTGAGTCCACTTGCTCAACGCTTCTTGGGCATGGCTCTGGGTCATGGTCCTCAAATCTGGTTCAGAATAAAATCTCTTTAAAATTACAGAGTTTAGCTTCTTTTCCATTAACAATAGTATGGTACCTTTGTCACAAGTGCAGATCAGATATTGATATAATATGCTATTATTAAATTCATGCATTATTCAGATTTCCTCTGTTTTTTCCTAATACCCTTTTTCAGTCTCAGGATCCCAGCTAAGTCACACTTGTTCACTTGCCATGTCTCCTTAGCTGTGGCAGCTTCTCAGACGTTTGCTTTTGATGATCTTGACAGTTTCGAGGAGGACGGGTCCATTATATGGTAGCAAGCCGCTCTTTTGGAATCTGTCTCATGTTTTGCTCATGATTAGAAAGTGGTCATGGATTTTGGTGAAAAGAACCACTGAGGTGAATTGCCATGTCAGTGTCATCATGTCACATTTATATTCCACGCACCTGATTTGTGGCTGTGGATCCTCACCCAGCTGAGGTGGGCTCATCAGCTTGTCGGCTGTGCAGTGACTGTGTGGCTCCTGCCCTCCAGCGCTCTTCAGAGAGGCCACTGCACAGCCCACGCGTGCGGAGTGCGGTGTGCTCCGCCTGCCTGAGCGCCGAGGTTCTACATAACCCATCTGCAATCCTGTGCTAGAAAATTTTCTATTCTGATGCATTTATTTATTAATACGATCATTTATTTATTTGTGTTACCTATTTTTTAATACTTGGGTTAAATCCAAAACTATTTTTTTTCGCTCAGATTATTTCAACTTTGGCTGCTGGGGGGTTCTTTCTATTGGTTCCTGTGTCCTTTCAATATACCCTCTATCATTTGGGGTTTTGCTTTGTTTTGTTTTTGAGTATTTCACCATTTTCTGACCTGTAAGATGCTCCAAGCTCATCTTGTATATTTCCTGCTTAGTCTTAAAATCAGTCATTTCTCCAAGAAGCCCGGTTCCTTTTATTAAAAAATGGCACTGGAACCTAAGATCTGGGAGCTGGGTATGCTTGTTGCTGCTGGGGTTCCATAGCTTCTGCACCCTCAACACTAAGAGAGCAAGGAAATATAGGTGTGGATAACCTATACCCCCACAGGAAACAACTTTATTTACTAAAGTACAGTGGCTATGTTCCTTTTGTCTTCAGTCTTAGGGATTCCACTCACTTCTAAAATTACTTAGGATAGCACTTAGGATCCCCCCCAAAAAAACTTCAGTAAGGTTATATTATAAATTTGCAAGACAGTTAAATTCTTTTGTCACACACTGTCTTCTATGTCATACATACATCATCACAACATGATATAGAATAGTTTCTCCTCCATAAAACATCCTGAGTTGTGATTTATATACTACCTCCCTTCCCTAGTCTCCTGACAACTACCAATCTATTTACTGTCTCTCTATTTTGCCTTTTCCAGAACATCATATAAATTGAATAATATGATAATTAGCCTTTTAGAATGATTCCTTTTACTTCTAATGATGCTTTTACAATTCATCCATATCCTTGTGTAGTTTGACAGCTCATTCCCCTTTTGTTGCAGAGTAATATCTCACTATTAAGATACATCACAATTTGTTTATCCATTCACCTACACAAGGACATTTTAGTTGCTTCCAGTTTTTGAAGATTTTGAATAAAGCTGCCATGAACATTCACGTATGAGTTTTAGTGGAGACATACATTTTCAAATGAATTGGGTAAATGTCCAGGAACACAATTAGACAATTGGATAATAAGGCTATATAGTTTTGTAAGAAACTACCAAAATTTCTTCCAAAGTGGCTGTATCATTTTGCACTCTGATGAGAGCAGTGAATGAGAATTCTTGTTGATCCACATTCTCTCCAGTATTTGCTATATTAGCCATTCTGATAGATGTGTAGTGGTATCTCAGTGTAATTTAATTTGGATTTCCCTAATGACATGATGTTAAGCATCTTTCATGTCCTTATTTACCTGTACATTTTCTTGGGGAGGGATCAGTTAAGATATTTTGCTCATGTAATTATTGTGTTGTTTTATTTCTCACTGTTGAGACTTCAGAGATCTGTGTATAGTTTGGGCACAGGGCTTATGCCATATAGGTGTTTTGCAAATATTTTCTCCTACATATTCATTCTCATATCTCCCTGTTTAACAGATGTAATTTAGTTAATAGTTTATCATTAATTGATGCATAAACTTCTACCACTTCCTTACCTGTGAAGCCCACTTCAAGGTCAAACCATTTGTTAAATATTTTCCCAGAGAGGACAGGAGATAAAAAAGAAACAGGAAATCATCAGATGAGTTTCATAACTGCTTTTTACACTTTGGAGCTTTTATACACATTTCTCCCCAGGTCTTCTTGTGAGTGCTTACAGGAGTCATTAGCAGACAAAGTTGAATTAGATCCAATGAAACAATTCTTAGCATCTACGTAAACAATATGTTGAATGTGCCCTGCCCCCTGAAGGGACTGGCTTCACCCAGGTGCTGCAAGAGGATGCACAGTGCTTTCTAGAAACCTTCAGTACATGGTGCATGAACAGGAGGCCAACATAGAGGCATGGATTAGGGTCCACTCAAAGGAGCCTTTGTGCACAATTTGGGGGCGAAGTTCCCACCGCCTGCAGCCTCCAGCCCACCCCATCTGAATCCTGGGCTGATGGAGACAGGACCTCCGTGTGTGCAGCCTCCTGACTCTATTGGTACTCCCACATCCTCTGAATTATTTCAGTATTACCTATCTATCTATGATCTAAGTTTTCCAATAAGTTTTGAGGTTGGTCAACTTCTGTCAAGCTGCGTAGCTGTTCATGGGATGTAAGAAAAGCCTTACTGTAACAGCAAAATGCATCTTTTCTGGATTTGATTAATATGCTAAGTTATGTTTCCCCTGCTCTAAGTCACTCAAATGTCACAGTGATGCCCTGACACTTAATATCTAGAAAATATTGTCTTGATCCACGTTTTATGACATGTGAAGTCCCAGAGATCTCACATTCCAGGGGTTTCCTGCTAAGCACCTGCTTCTGGTGGACTGAAGGCGGGATCACTGTGGTGTTCTGCACATTCTTTCTTGCTTCATACCACCAGAGTCTAGTGGGGTAGCTTAGGCCTCTTTCCTTGATTTCACACAAGGAAAAAAGTAAATAGTAATAATCAGCACCATGAACACCCAAAACTAACCATTCGAGAAAGTAGCAATTTCTGCTTAAAATTTCAGGATTTGAAGCAAATTTATATGACAGCAAGAAAACCACTTAAATATCAGACATCCTTTTCTTTCACAGCCCTCTCGAGCACCCGAGACCAAGGAACTTTTACTCTCGTGACAGCCGAGGAGTGGCCCCAACAGTCTCTTAGCGTGCTGCCGGCCCCTCCCTTCTCTGGTTTTTCCTTCTCCCCACCCCCAATGGCCCCCACCACCCCGCCTCCAAATTCTTCATCGTCTGTTACTGAGCAAAGGTGAGCCTGCATCTCTGGGGTCATGTTTTCATCTCTGAATCTCTCCAGTGGGCTCAACAGAACAAAAACACCTTTTAGTGATTATGTCAAAAACTCAAAGAACCAGCAGAAACCCAAAGTTACCTCAAACTGGCTACTTCAGCAGGAGCTTTTATCCTTGGGAGACATTTGCGGGTTTAGTGTGCTTTCTCTCCGGCACACCTGCGTTGGCTGCGGCCGCATGACGTCTGCTGAGATGCAGGTCCTTCCTGCCTCTGCATATCTGGCCTCAGAGAAGACCAGGAAGGCGCGGAGCCAGTGGGCTCGGGGAAGCCTGGACGTGGTGCTGCCGGCAGCTCTCCTACAGGGGCGTTGCATCAGTTCCAGGCGTCCTGTGCATTTTCCTGGGATCCTGTGGGTGTCGGGAAACCCATGCACTTATATCCAAGGCAAAATCACCTTTTGTGTGTGTTGAATATCAAACCATTGCATCTGGTTGGCTTTTCTCATGAATGAAATCCTATCTGCTTCTAATCATCCAAGAACACCTCAAAGATTTGGGTTAATGGTAACAACATTCTTTGTTGTCCAAAACCCTCTTATAATTTAAAATAAATAAATAAGTAAACATATATATGCACACACATACACTAAATATAGGTGAATATATATACACGTATATATATATATTTGAGTTTTTTTAATATGTTAAAGAAACCTCTGTGTTAAAACTACTTTTTTATTAAAAGCAAAAGGATGTTGAAGAAACTATGTACAGTAACAGCATAACTTTTAATCGTATAAATGAGGAGGTCATCCTTTCAGCTATAAAATATTCATTGAAGGGTAACTATAGTGCTATTAATTTAAAATATGCATCAGATTTATAAATTTAAATCCTTAGGATAAAAATTCTTACATAGAGTAACATATAACTGTGTAAATATATCACATGAAAGTGTAAAGAAAAAATTTTTCTAACATCTGCTGTATCACTTGCTATGAACATTATAATACAAAGAAGTTGTTACTAAAGAATATTTACAAATAGATAAATAACATAAGGCTAAGTTAGCCAAGATGGCTAACTTTTGCCAGAGACTCTGTTTAGACATATAAATCCACTATTAACATCCACGAGCTAAAATTAGCTATATCCAGCTGCCCAGATAAAATCTGCATCCTTTGCTATGTTTATCTTGCATAATCATTGAACCTCTTATGTTCCCTGAGAAGAAACACTCCGTGAGCTCATTCTCACCTTATCCCATTACTGTGTCACTGAGGGGTAACATACATAGCAATTATTTATAAATATTTTCATATTTATTATCCCATTAGGTTAGAGAAGTGAAAAAGCGAAAATAAATCTAAAAGTACCTTTAAGAAGGCATAATTGAATGTTATAATTCCTTTAAAATCATATGTTTGACAGAAGAGCCACAGTTTTCCATATATAAATATCAGAAAGAGCTTAGCACAAGTAAATACTTCGTGAAAAAATAGCACAAATGGAATTCCATGTGGGGAAATTAAACCGATTTTGCCAGAAATAAAATTTTAAATTCCACAGAATTAAAAAAGAAAATGAAAGCATTAAAGGAAAATGAACAAAGCCCACAGTTGATGGGCTTTATAAAGGCCAAATTGGAGGGCGGAGCAAGATGTTGGATGAGAAACATCGTCAGACAGAGTGTCTCTGCAGAAAACACAGATTCTAGGAGGAATTAGAAGGAAGAAGCAAGCAGACGAGCATACATCGGATGAGGGTCAGAAGGAGGGGTACCGGAGACCTCAAGAGACTCCACAGGAGGAGAACTAGAAGCAGAGACCTCCCGAGTAGCTTGGAGACCAGCGACAAGGGTATGTGGAGCGGTTAACTTTCCCCTCCCTTGCATCTTGGACTGCTGGTGGGCTCCCCAACCGGTGGAGAGACCTGCACACACTAGCCCAAAGACGGCCACCGCCAGTGAGCGGTAAGCCCGTAGCAGTCGCAGCACCAGGCTCCCAACTCCCTCCAGGCACCTCTGTGTGCACAGATATGAGCCCCAAGGCAGATGCCATATTGCTACACTCTCCCCTTCCCCGTCCCTATCCGCAGCTGCCAAGAGAGATAATATAGCCACCAGCCGGAGGCACCTCCAGGGAACAGGACTCTCCCTTTTGGGGCCCTTCAGCTGACTGAGGGGTACTCAGACTGTGAGCTCCCTACCCACCCGCCCTCCCAGGTGCTGCTGGCCTGGTGACTCCAGGAGAACGGGGCAGACCCTGAGGCTGACAGACATCAACCCAGCTCAGGCTCCCCGTGGGTGAATTAGGACTGACACTCCTCTCCCTGGTGGGGTCAGGGATTGAACTCTTGGGCCCAGAGGTCAGACCTGCAGACCAGATCCCGTGCACCCAGGTCTCGCATTGCCTGGGGCACAGAAGGGATATTTGTGAAAAGCCTACTGAGGTGTGTGTCGCTTCAGGGGCAGATCAGTGTCCTAGGGGGCAACCCTCCTCCCCTAGGGGCCCCTGTGCCCAGCCCAGATGGCAACCCTGTGCAGGGAAACTCCCAGTCCACATCACAGCCAGGGCAGGCCTGGTGGCGTGAGGTCTGGCCTGCTGGCAGAGGCCCAGAAGCCGTGGAGCTGGGGAGGGTGGAAAGGAGTGAGCACCACTCCAGACTGTGGGTCTAAGATGGCCCCACCCCACACGCAGACTTTCTGACTGAGTGGGGCAATTCCAGCCCCTCCCTAACAGCTTTTCCCAGAAGCAAAGAACAGAACTTTGACCCCTGCTAACAGCATCTGTGGTGCCTCGGGGCAGGCTTAAGCAACCCAGCTCCGCCCAGACTCACTCCCAGACCAGCCCTCACTGAGGTGGAGAATAAGGACACACCTGGAAGTCCCAGGGCACCACCCACCACCTGAGGCACCAGAGTGCCTCTCCAGGGGAACAAGACCAAAAACCAACGGTGTAGCCTGCTCCTCCAAGCAAGCGCCACCTACTGACAGGAAGGACATTCTGCACACCCTTTTCACAGCACCTACTGACTCATCATAAAGGGTGTGGTCAAATCTCACCCACAAACACCACCTACTGGCTCAGAGACCAGACAGGGTGTGTAATTATCCAAAGGAAAACCTAAAGGCAAGAAACAAGAACTGATCCAGATGGAAAGAAATAAGCAAAGGAACTCTGAAAACATGAAGAACTAAATGGAAAGCACACTTCCAAAGAGGAGCACCAGCCCATTAGAAATGGACACCAACAAAAATCAGACCACTAAAATAACAGAAGAATTTCAAACGTGGATCATAAGAAAAGTCAACCACTTCCAAGAAAAACTGGATAACCCACGCAAAGAAAATGCAAAAAGATTCCAGAACCTGGAAGAAAAATTCACTAAATAAATGGAAATAATGAAGAAAAATCAAACCAAACTCCTGGAAATGAAGAATCAATTCAGGGAACTACAAAACACATTGGAACGCCTCAAGAACAGGTTAGATCAAACAAGAAAGAATCTCAGAAATTGGAGATAACACCTTCCAATTAAATAAATCAGTCACAGAGATAGAGCAGAGAAACAAGAGAAAAGAGCAAAGCCTACAAGAGATGTGGGATTATGTGAAGAAACCTAATGGGAGGATTATAGGGTTACCCAAAGGGAAAGAAGAAAACACTCAAGGGTTGGACAAGCTATTCGAAGATATAATAGAGGAAAATTTCCCAGGCCTTGCTAAAAATCTCCAGATACAAGTTCAGGAAGCTCAAAGGTCCCCTGGGATATTCAATGCAAATAGGAAGACATCACGACATGCAGTCATCAGACTGACCAAAATATCAACTAAAGAGGCCCTTCTATGAGCTGTAAGATGAAATAAGCAAATAATATATGAAGGAAAGTCAATCCAAATAACACCAGACTTCTTTATAAATTTACAAAAGCAAGGAGAACGTGGCCCCATTGACCACTTTCTTCTGCACAATGTCTTTTTTTAAATGCCCTCGCCATAGAAGTCTCTCAATCTGTATATATGTTTTTTTTTAATATATGTGTGTGTTTGACAATTCTCAGATAAACAAGACTGAAGAAATTCACCACACAAGACCAGCCTTCAAGAGATCTCAACAGTGTTACCAGCGCAGCACAATAAACACTCACAAATGTAAATTACTCAAAAGCTAAGATCAAAGTTAGATACTACAATGGTCAATATAGAAAACAAAGCAACAAATATCAACGCCATACATGAAATATCTTGCCCACCTATCAGTTATCTCATAAATGTGAATGCTTGAATCCCACTCAAGAGACATAGGCTGGCCAAATGGATTAAAAAAACACAATCCAAGTATTGTGCTTCAGGAACACCATCTAACCTGCAAGGATGCAGTTAATAAGGTAAAGGGTAGAGAACAGTATTTCAAGCAATGGAAGCCAAACGAAAGTTGCATTGTGATTATAGATAACTTAGTTTGAAATAACAAAGTAATAAAGACAAATAAGGGCACTAATAATAAGTGAAGGGTATAGCTCAACAAGAAACATAACATTCTAAATAAATATAGCAACCAACCTTGGTGCAACCAGATTCAAAGCGAACTCTACTTGAACTAATAGATGGATAAACACAACACACATATAGTGAGACTTTAACAACCACTGAGAGCACAGGACAGATCTTCTCAACAGAATCAACACCGAAATACGGCTTCAACATAAATCTAGACAAAATTGGCCTGACTGGGATTTACAGGACTTCCACCCAAAAACTGAATAAATTCTTTCATCAGCTCATGGTATTCTCTAAGCATTGACCATTCCTAGGACACAAAGCGTGTCTCAAACAATTTAAAAAATAGAAATTATGCCATGTATCTTTTCAGATTACAATGGAATAAATGTAGAAGTCAATCCTAACAGGAGATCTCCTTCTTACACAAAACATGAACCTAAACAAATTCTTGCTGAAGATCACTTCATAAATGAGGAATAAGATAGAAATCAAAAATTCTTTGAACAAATGACAAGAAAGGAGACAAGTACCAAAATATGTGGGACAAGAATAATGCAGTCCTAAGAGAAAGTTTATTTTCATAAATGCCTATATCAATTGTGATCGAAATGATCACAAATAGAAACTAAACATCTCAAAAGAGATAGAAAAAGAAGAAAAACCACCCCAAACCGCGCAGAAGAAGTGAAATCATTAAGATCAAATCAGAACAGAAGAAATTGACAACAATTTGTTATAGGGAATTACAAGATTATAAAACAAAAAGTTGGTTCTTTGAAAAATAACAAAAGACACACCTTCGCTAGACTAACAAAAAGCAGAAAAGAAAAATCTCTAATAAGCTCCATCAGGAAAAATAAAGGAGAAACTACAATGGATGCCACAGAGATACAAGATATAATTC